ACCATTTAGTGTCTAGGACTAGCTAGCTAATAACATGAAACTTAGAGTGTAGAGTCTAATTCAAACTCAATTTATTTCTACTTACCCACACAATTCGTGACTTGTTGTCTACGAAGTCTCATTCTCCTTTGTTTCGAAGGTATACACGTTGGCTTGCCTAATTTCTCATGCTGAAAACAATCAAAATGAAGATTTTAGTTTAAAAGATTCTTGATTAGGAATAAATCAAATTGCATATCATGCATAATGTATATAAATTCCTCGTATTGAAGATTGGCATTTAATTCGTGTATATAAAGTACTGATGCAGACAAAAAGAATTAGTTAAGTTATATCAGTGCAAGGAAAATGTGTAGTAGCTACAAATAAGGATTTTGGCGCATCTAAAACAATGGATTTGCCTCTGCCAAGTGAATGAGGACTTGCACCAACATGTTGAATATGAACACAGACATGCTTTTTTTTTTTTTTTTCAACTTAATTTCAGACACAACATGTTGAATATAAAGTCAAAACATGATGATTTTCCCAGATTGATTTCAGCCAAAACAATCTGAAAATAAAGACAGACATGCTGCTTTTTCCCAAAGGAAATTGAGACAGAGCATGCTGATTTTTCCTACATCTAACATAAAATGGATAGAAAAAGCTCTTCTAACGAACGAAATTTTGTAAAAAATGAATATAATATATAGAATAAGATGTTTATATATAACATGTCAATTATCTATGAAATTTTGTCATGCAAGTTAAACATTACCAGTCTCAGCTTGTGGGCAGCAATTGTTATTGAACCAGTAGTGTGCTTAGTGATGATTCCTGACTTCATAGTCAGTCGGTTATCACCGTCAAGTTTAGACTTGTTCTACTTTTTCTCAATTATATCATTCCAGAGCTCTACACTTAACTACAGTGGTCTATATCCCTTCCAATCAATTATATTTCTAGACCTACTATTTTCCTAAGCCTTCTTTCAAGCCAAACAAAATATATCTTGCAGTCGATCAGTTGGGGCAGTATTCCATACCTTCTTCACCTCATTATCTTTATTTTTTGGCCATGAGTATTGTTGCTAATGTAGGTACCAACCATTAATACGGAAAAAAAAAATGAAAATATATAAGGACAATAAGTATATTTAGAAGAAACTTATATTACCTGGAATCTTTCCCACAAGAAATTTTTTGTGTCAACCGGCACCAAACTAAACGTAGGATAAGAACCTCCCAAGTAAGCCTTCAAATTGGCACTTACAGCATGTGATGCCGAGACAGTAATGAATCCGCAAGCATAAAAGATCAAGATGACTGTGACTTAAAAAAAGCCCATGAAAGTGAATTGTACTAGAGAAATTATCTCAATAAAAAACTTAAGTCCCATTTTCACGTAACCCTTACAATCGTATTTATAAGATAATGCTTAACAATCACTCAACCTCAGCCACACTTTTGGGAGCAACTTTGAATTGTGGAATATCGATTATTACTAGTTTTCTAGACTTATAAGACATTGATGCATTACGGATGGAAAATAAAAAATGTGTTCAAATCCAACTTTCTAGGACAATTTCATTAAAGAAAATCCACAAGAACCCAAAAATGCATACATTTCAGTAATATAAAACCCAAAGAAAACAAGATTCTTGAGCATCTTCAAGTTCAACAGAGCTAAACCCAAATACTCTGTTCAATTTCAAGTCTTTCTCTAAAAGTCATTGGAGAAATTAAGAATAACCCATGAAATTGCCGGCCATCTAAACCACAACACAATGGTACTTTAAAATTGCAAATATAGACTTGAATGCCTAAAGAATACACAAAATTTATGGACTCTAAAAAGGACAATAAAAATCATAACATGGAACAAAATAAAAAACATTTATCCAAAATTTACCCTATTCCATTAACTAGAAGATGGACATGATAAACCAAAGTATACTTCCTATCTGCCAAAGTTATTCAGTCCATTTAAAATCAATGATACCATTTGGCATTCAAACTGAAATCCCCAAAAATAAGTTCAGATAAATACCTATTGTCTCTCACAGTAAAAGGAATTCTTCCAGTTTCATCTGCACCAACATTAGTACCGTGGTTGGGACCCTTTTTTCCACAATCAAGTCCATCATTATCATTGCAGAAAGAGACCCATCAGTATCCTTATATCCATTCTCAATCCAATCATTATCCTCCTCATCTTGTAATCTAGGAACCCTAGGCATGGAACTCCATCTTATTCTAGTGGTCATCCTTAGTTGAAGTTAATGTCGGTATGAGTTTTGAGAAGGATCAAATGGTTGAAAAGTGGCAAGGATACTATAAACTCTGCATACGTTGAGCAGGAATGAAGGGGTAATGGGATATATGAGGGGAAATGAGGGGAAAATGGGATATATATGGGAGGGGGAATGAGGGAACGAATGTAAAAACTTTCGGGAAAAATTGGAGTGAGGAGTTGAAATTTGGGGAAGGATAAATTAGATGGATAAATTTTGGAATTATAGATGATATTTGAAAGTCAATTTTTTTTTCTAAAAAATAAAATATAAAGGTTAAAATTGAGTTAGTTTAGAAAGAAATTATCCATTGCACAGATAAAAAGTATTTATTGTTAGTTAAGGTATGATATTAGTAAAAATGATGTTAGTTTATAATTAATTTAAATGAAATAATGAATTGCAATTAATTCTTCCCTTATAGTTCTTTACACGTTTTTAAAGCTTCATCTTAAATATATATTTAAAATTGACTTCTCATTAAAAAAAATTTAATTTTCCCTTTTAATTTGTGTGGTTGAATCCCGGCTAGAATTTGTCCACTAGTCCTACCTTTCTTATCTTTGAAATTGTCATAGAGAAAGTTAGCTTTTATGTCTCTTGACCGAAAGTCTCAAACTCAACGTCAAGAATGAAAGAAACGTTCGTGCAAGTCCAGTTCCCAATTCCTCGTGCCTCGAGCGAACATTTGGTTGAAGCTTGAAGTCCTAATTTGAATTATAACATTATTCGCTCCAAAAATAAAAATAAAAATAAAAAATGATGAGGGGAAGCCTAAAAAGAATTCGAGGAAAATGTCAATTCCCAACTTTTCAAGCCACGATGAAACATTTCATTCAAGTTCAATTCTCAATTCTTCAAGTCTCGAGGGAACATTTGGCTGAAGTTCGATTACCCCTAAGTTATAATTGCACACCAAATTACATTTTTAGAAAGTGAGTTGTTTTTACGAACGAATAAATGAGAACATTCAATTATCTAAATAATGACGAAGCTTAAAATCCATAAATTGAATTACGAAATTTTCTACTCAAAACCAAAAAATGTGTTGCAATCAAAATTGACCTAAAATTCTCCAAAAATGGATAAGGTGATTTTGAGCTTAGTTAGATATTGATTTGGGGCACTTGAATATCATTCGGGTTGCAATCAATCAATTGGAAAAAGTATTTAAGAAATTGGATGAGATTCATGAGTTTATGGAGGCAAAGTTGACAATTGGAAATTTTGGGAGTAAATAATTAACTTTTAAACTTGTGTCAGATCAAGACATTATGAATTGAAAATGGCGAGGAGCAAATTAGTTAGAATTCAAGGAAAATGACATATTTTACAACACTGGATGAGCATGGAATGAATTAAAGAAGAATTTGGGAACCAAAGTGAAAGATTTAAAAGTAGGAAAAAATTTATACATATTTCCAGCCACTGTCCCATGGCGGCTTATCAAATTCAAATATGAGAAATGAACTCAAGTTTATTTATCATCAAATCTATCTCAAAAGAATATACAAAGTTGTATATAAATAGCAGTAAATGAATACCGGCTCCACAAATACCAGATGGACACATACAGATTGTGCAACTAACTAACCATATAAATAGAAATACCGGGGATACATATCGACTGTGCAACTAACTAACAGTATGGACATATATTGGCTGAATAGATATCAGATAAACATATACTGTGTGCAACTAACTAACCGTATTAATCATACCGACAGAACATATACCGATTAGCCAGCTATCTAACCGAAATGAAAGGACTAAACTAAGCTACATATGTACAGTTCATTTACATACAATTCCAACATACAATTCTAATACGGCCATGCAATTAGCCTTCTCGAGGTCATAGAGAAAGTTGATGATTTTGTTACTTGTCATTTTTTTTTATTTCTTCTAATCGGGAGCCAACTGATTTCTACTATTGAAATTGATGACATAATCGGCTAATTGTTTGTGTCTCTCGCTTTGTAGGTACAATACATCCTCAAATTTTGTCAAAGCTCCTAATGGTGGGGGTAATAATAGCAGTTATATAGTCGACAATAGTTTAAAAGTTGCAAAGCGAGAGTTAGTCTCCAATATACGCTCAATCAACTAAACATCATCTATATCAAATTTCAAATGGAGTAAGCAATAACATAGTTATGAGCTCCTCCACTACTAAGCTTTCAGCACACCTACAACGTGAAATGTTTGATGCATAACTATCAGGCATTCTTAAATTCCTAATCCAATTGCATACTTCTTATTTTTCCACATTAGTTAAGCTATTAGGAGGCCTTTGTCATGCATAGTTTTTCTCTTTCATCTTCATATATATGAAGCTCTCGACGATTGCAATAAAGCTCCAAATCCTTCTTAGCCTTGAAGTTATTTTTAGTTTTTCCTTTTATATCCATAATTGTGTTGAAT